AGATAAAATATCTGTTTTGCCGTCTAAAACTTCAAGACACCACTCGCCATCCTCGCTGAGACGAATGCAAAAATCCCAACCACTTCAAGCTTTACGGTTGCAAGCAGGATCTGTCGGAAAGAAACATAACGAATAGACGGGCAGAGCAAGAGCGTTTTGAGATTGTACCTGCCATTCGTGCACGGTGCTGTGCCATGCATTGAAGCCAGCATCACCTCACTGTACCGGAACCATTACGACATCTTCCGCGTCTAGAAAGCTATACGAAGAAAAGCCTTGTCTTCCGGGGGTTGAACTGCGAAGAAATGCTACCTGGGGCTAATCAAGACCTCTTCCTCGCCGCCATGAAGTTGGTGAGGCACCTCGAGGAAGTGAAAGTCGAGCTAGCGTTGAGTCGCATCCTCTCCGACGTGGCTCGCAACGCGATTTTGAGCGCGTAACGCAATGTTGCAAAATGACATGCATGCGCACAGTAGAAGAGCTGCGCAATACCACATCTTCGCCATGACGTTTCGACCACGTGCGATATCGTTCGACATTGGTGCAGCCTTTGAGGCAGACTTCGCGTGCGCTGACAACATGACGTCATGAGCATTGCATATGTTCGCGTGCCGACGTTGTGGGAATGCAGCAAAAGTAGAGAGCGAAGGCATGGTGTCTGATGAAATAGAAGGGATGCAAGATGGGATAGAACGTCGGACGTGAGAAGAAGCTCGCAACACGCGACGCGACTGCCAAGGCTGACTACCTAGGTAGGTTTGCCGATCCCTTTCACTTCCCCGCCACTCCCCTATGCGCGTCATTTCGACGGACCCTTCCCATCATGACAGCTTCGTGGTATCAACTACGGTCTTCGTGCGCATCCTCCTGAACCGATTGTCTCGCCCTCTATTTCATCCGTCGACCTCCAGATCAAGGTTTCAAGGTTGATCACCGGAAACGCAACACCGGGCGCCTCCATGCTTGATGCAGCCATACCCAGAGCCTACGGACAGCACTTCATCATGGGTTAGGAGGCCAAGACGTATGTTTGAACATGGCGCATTATCCTGGGCCATCAGCATACGAATGTTCACTTGGACACTGTCCAGCACAACTGCAGCAACTACGCTGGTATTGCATGGTATGAGAGGCGTCGAGGAGATGAGAGATAACATGGATCGGAGAGTAGGTGGTCGGCGATTATTCTGCAGAAGCGCGAGAGCTGTCGAACATTTTGGCGGGCCTCTCGAAGCCATGGTTGTATGAAGCTCAGTTATTTCACCACTTTGTATCTTCTACCGATAGCATGTGGTCAGAGATAGTACACTACTGCATGTAGCTAATTCAGCACTATCTGCTGATTAAAACTTCCTTTGTGTATAATCTAGTCTAATACGCACCTGGGCATGGCTTACACATCTTCGATGATCGCAGGAGAAACGCCAAAGTGGATGTGCCTGGAAATATCGATAGCCTATCTCTACTTGCACTTAGAATTGCAACAAGGCATGCGTATTGCTTCGTTGCAGTCTCGTTGTTACTGGATCTATCCCATGTTTACTGGGGATTAAAGGCGGTTGTTTGTTCGTCAAACACAGGCCTGATGCACAAGTGAGCTACAGTCTTCCGTGGAGCCGAGATCTACTCTCCCCACCATACATCAAGATGCGCCTTGTTTCTTTGGCCTCACATAATGCCCGGAGATTGGCTCCCATCATCATTGGAAGCGAAGCTGCCTCGACGAGAACCTCACCAGCGGCTATTCCTAGTCCGTAAGTCACCCTAGTTCGAGAGGACCACTTGCGTTCTACATATGGTGATTGAAACTGACGTTGTACACTCTTTAGACTCCAACAAGAACACAAGAAAGCTGCGGAGGTCTACAACCCAGTATTGCCGAAGCTTGCAAAAGACAATCTTCATCAGCTAGATGAGATCTTCCGCTTTGGCAACCCACATGCTGCAGCACCAAGCCTAAGAGATGTTGTTCTTATTTCAATCGATTTTGAGAACGTCACGGCTGTCAAGAACGGCTTTCTCGTCAATCCAAATTGCCAAGCCGGTGTCGCCATTCTCGACACAAGACTGCTTAAGGAATCGTCAGCCAATGAGCCTTTGAGAACGTGTAACTTCGCGACCGGCACGCCATCGTACCTCGAAGAAGCCTCTAAGAAGTTTCAATTTGGGAACACCATCACTACCTCGCCCCAAAAGCTATCTACCAGCATTCGATCTTTGATTCCTGGAAAACGGAAGGTCGTACTAGTGGGCCACGGGGTGATGAGTGATGTCTTCGCCTTGAAAGCACTGGGCTTCCAGTTCCCCACCAGACTGTTAGCGCTTCTGGATACTTCGCAAGTAGCTAAAGAGATATCGAACTGCTGGTCTGGATCTTTGGGAGACTTGTTGAGGGAACTGGGGTGTCCACATAGCAAGCTTCACTGCGCTGGAAATGACGCAAACTATACTTTGAAGGCGCTCCTTCTCCTGGCTGCTAAGAGGCTGGAGAGACAAAGTGGAAAAAGAAATACTGTGGATATGCTTCGACGGATCGGGCGACAAGAACTACCATACTGGGTGGATGCGCAGGGAAAGCATCAGTAGGGCGATAGAACGAAGGGGGGGCACCAAAATTGACTCTCATGCGACACAGTATTAGGAACACAACATACAATTTGTGCTGAGTTATATGACAGGAAAGATGGCTTTGGAGGTGAAAAGGGGATTTTCGGTTGATGGAAACGATCGTGCTCATGAGTTGTCACGTCCTAGGTTGTTTTTGCACACCTACATTTAGCGAGGTTGGCAATAATGTATACATGTGTATCTAGGGAGTCAACGCTCTCGGTTCTACAGCAAAGAGCTTGTTGAAGATGTTCTGTGGGTCGTACTTGGCCTTCAGATCTTGCAAACGTTCGTAGTTGTTGCCAAAGACGTCTCTGGACTTCTCTTCATACTCTGTTTAGGCGTTAGCATACCGTTGCTTGCATGAGGATATTTTTCCCCCATTCGCGTTATATGAGTGAGGAGTGCACGCTTTGGAGAGTACTTACGGTCGTAGTTCCCATACACCATTGTCGCACCATGACTGCCTCTCTTGCCAATCCAACCATCGTTACTCGCCCCTGACTCAGCGCCACCACGCTGAAGTTCGTTCTTGAACAGCAGCGCAACATCCCTCGACCACTGCCTACACTTCTGATCGTTGCCCTGATCCCACCACAAAGGCGCAACAGCCGCATTAAAGTGTCTTCCGCGGTTCGCAAAGGCCATGTCAGAGTTGGTGATTTCAACAATCTTCGTCGGGTCTAGTAGCTCCCACATAACCTGGGAGCCGACTGCATCGGAAGTGTGGTCAGTAAACTTGGCATATGCCTCCAAGACGGATACAACGAAGTCGCCACGAACAGGAAGCTCGAACCCGGCTCCTTTGATAGAGACACGCGCACCGATGGGTAGATCCATGAGTTTGTTTGCCTTGGCGTAGGGCATCATTGCCATGGTACTCATCAAAGGTTCCAATCCAACGATATCCTTGAATAGCTCTTTGCCGTCTTCTTCCGAGCCATGGTAGATCGCGGCTACGAAGAACAGGACCTGACCACCAGCAGGTGGAGGCCTGACGAAACCGAAAGCACTCGCAGCTTTCCCCGTAGCTTTTGTATTGCCATCTGCGTTTGGCGTGAAGATATCGTTACATGCTTCCACAGCTTTCTTGATGATATCTGGCGTTGGTGGAAACATCATGAAGCCAGCCCACAGATCGCCTGTCTCATGGGTGCGGAATACAAACTCAATGCCGACACCAAAGTTCTGTCCCGCGCCGCGCAGAGCCCAAAACAGGTCTGGATGCTCATCGGTAGAGGCTTTGACGATACTGCCGTCCGCCAATACGACAGTGCATGAAATGAGGTTGTCAACAACCAGTCCGTGTTTGACTGTGAGCCAGCCGAAGCCGCCGCCGAACGTGAGACCGCCGACGCCGGTATCTGAGACGGTGCCACCGACTGCTGCAAGACCGTACGGTGCGAGAGCTTCGTCAACATCACCCCAAACGGCACCTCCGCCGACTTTGATTGTTCTTCCCTCAACGTCGACATCGGTAGTACGCATATGTGTATTCAAGTCGATGAGTAGTCCGCCGTCCGTTGACGATGCGCCAGCAGTCGAGTGACCACCTCCTTTGACGGCGAGATCGAGATTGTGTTCGGAAGCATACTTGAGGGTGATTGAGATTGCTTCTGCCGATCTGGGTATCAGGCATGCTCCCGCTGGCTTCACAGCAGCGCTTGACCATCGGTGAATGGATTTTGTGTATGCCTCAGTTTCCTTTGGTGTCACTAACTGGGCATCTGTATCTCTCAGTAATTCGCGAAGTTCCGCGATGTCTGCTTCGTTGATCGGGCGTTTCGTAGCCATCGCGTAGAGAGTAGTATAGTGACGATTAGAAGGGACGAAGGACAAATGTTATGACGGATACTTGGAGATATAGGGCTTCGAACGCTTGGTCCAACCTTGAGTAGACGAAGACGTGACAAAGCGGGGTCTACATTGGGGCGTAAGCTTACCACGTCGTTGACCGTCAGCAACGTAGGAACATGGCGAATAGCTGTCACCGATACCTCGGCAGAGGTAAGGCCTACCATCGTCGGCCGTGTTGACAGGGAGCTCGACTGTATAACTGATATCGGTCTGACCGTTCATTGGAGACGCCATGCGGTTGTCAGAACCCACCCATGGCGATCAGCTCGACCACATGTACACTACAGCCCATAAGGTCCCAGTTCCGAGCCCCATTTCGCACGGTTTCAGTAGACTCTCGTCAAGATCTATTGTCGTCTTTGTTCTGGGCCCGGCATGTGCGTCAGAATATGTAAGCTGGTTAAGCGCGTAGCGCTCGAATCTTGAATAGCTGCAGTACCTCTCATCTGCTTCTGCATAATGTCCAGAGTCCGTCATACAAACAAGCAGCTGTAAGCTGAGTATAACAGTATCCAATGAAACCTGAAGCGCTTCGTTCAAGACCATGTCGCCTTCCATCCTCCCTTGTAGCCCTTCTTGTGAAGCTCGACTGGACTTAACTCGCGCCCATCACCCCATACAGCTTCATACGGTACGATCCTCACAGATCCATCTCCTGCGTGTGCAAAGCGGCAATGTTCGTCCTTGCAGGTGCCTTTGTTGTAGTACTTGCACGCGACTCGCTGGCAGCCCCTGCTAATACCTCGCATCGAACAGTTCTTGCATCGAGCTCCGCCATCGCATTCCCAGTTGTGGCGCATGCACTGGCTGCAGTGTGCGAAGCGTTCAGATTTGGCTTTGAGGTGCGCAGGAACGGATCTAGACAGAGTTAGCCATGTAAGTGATGAGGGGTATCGTGTACTAACGCAGCGGCTTTGACAGCGACGGCTTCGTTGGATGGTTTTGCGTTGGATTGAAGGGCGAGCGCTTCCTTCGCGGCTTTGGCTAGCTTGGCTGGCAACTGCGCCCTCTCATCCTCGAGTTTCTTGACCACAGCATCGTGCGCGTCATGAATGACCTTGAGCTCCTGGTCCTTGGCATACAGTTCACTCCAAAGTAGCTGCATAGCTTGAGTAAGTTCCTGGATCTCTGTCGTATGCTCGCCGCGCGTCTTCTCAAATAGCATGTGGAAGGCGTCAATCGTAGTCTGCAGCTCTTCCTTCTCCCGCGTGAGACCATCGACCTGGATACGGATTTCAAGCTTTAGATGCCACATATCCTTCTCGTGGTCCAAATTCGCCCTCTCTAGCTTTTCCTGTGCTTCTTTTCTCATGAGATCCTTCTCCTTTGAATGTTCCATAAACAATCTGTACTCTTCAGGTAAACAGCTCTCACGTGCTGCCGGCTCGTTCTCCTTGCGTGTGGTCGGCGGGTTGTTCGTGCCATCGTCTTCCATCTGTCTCGGCAACACGTGCTGGCTTGATGGCGTTACGAGGGCATCGCGCTCAGCCATGATTGGCAACTGAAGGAGAGTTAGCTGTGCTGATACAGTCAATTGTGTGACTGCGCGGCGAGGTTCGGTGGTGGCTGTTCAGTGTTGTAGCTCAGACTGGCCACGAGTATTTCGTACTGGGCGCACCTTCACCTGTGCGGCCCTACGCGTAAGCGAGCAAACAACAAACAACAGTCGGTGAAACTGAAAGAGACTTAGGTCGCGCATTGATAATTTAAGACCATGGTCCACTCTCCTCCGCCACCACCTTTGCCATCTAACGTCTTCCGCGGCCGTTCTTGCCAGCAACCACCCAGCAGCACCTTCTCCATACGGCTCAAAATCAAGGTATCCCTCTCCTTCTCACCCGATGTGAACGACGTCACTAACAGTTAGCCCTAAGCTCAGCGCCACCATGTCTCTCCCCCAAAGCCCAGTCGATCCAGTCGCTCGCCTCGAAGCAGAACTCGCGCAAGAGAAAGCCGCTCATGCGCGCACGAACAAAAAGCTCGAAGCCATTACTCATCTCCACGCCAATCAGGCCATTACTATCAGTTCCCAGATCGGCATCATCAGGTCGCAGATCCAGAGGCATCCCGAAGATATTGCGGACATCCAGGTAGAAGCCAGGAAAGCGGAGGACGAGCGTCAGCGCAGGACTTCGGAGGTGAATGCGATGGGAAATGGGCCGTAGAGAGCGAGGCGGAGTTTTGAGAAAAATTCTCAACGGCTATGCGCATTATCTCATGGGATATATGTAGCGAGTTGACGTAGGAGCCCAAGTTGGGCTCGTCAACTCGCGGGGATGACACAGTATAATAGCAACGGCCTAAATCAATCTACAAACATATACTGGGTGTCGCGCTGCAATCTTGAGAATTTGAGCACCATCCTGAAGGATTGCGGTTCAGTGCATGAACGCCAGTGACACACCTCACGCGACAAAGCTACCCGCTTTCGTAGGATGTTGGTTGGCTAGCGTGTTAGCGCAGCGTTGCGACTCTCGGTTCCACGGTTCTTTGGCGCATTCACTTACTCATCTCTCTTCTATCGTCCTCGCCATATCCAATTTTACCGATTTCATCAAAACGTAATCGCACGATGGACCGTAACGAAACAGAAACTACCGGCTACATAGCGCCAAAGCCAGTCACATCCGAGGAGGGCAGCCTCGACCACGTTCTAGACATTCTGGAATCGCATCAACATCCTTTCCTATTCGTTGGATGCGCGGCACAGCGATGGATGGGGTCTGCCGGAACCATGACACGTGTATGCGAGATTCTCATCCGCCACAACACGCTGAAAGCCGTCGCATCGGATCTTTTAGCCACGTCAAGATGGACACTCAACGAAGATCCAGAAGATATTTTTGACAATGACACAGTATCGAATTGCGACGCCGATATCGTTCTCCGGCGAACATCCATCGAAAACCAAGACGAATTCCGCTAATCAGCTCTTTGGTCCGACGCCGCATACCATCTCGACATAGATAGCTGCATTACTATCGAAGTCCCCGACGTGTACTGTTGGCAGCCTATACTCGTAGAAGAGACTTGGCATCCAGCTCTGCACCGAGAGGATGGATGGTGGTATGGTCCTCGTGTGCATCCAGATACGAAGGTGCCAAATTCGGCCATCTTTTTCCCCGGCCTTCCGCGCGGCAAAAGCGCAAGCCACCCAAGTCCCATTTTGGTCCCGAATCTTACGACCTATCTTGACTCACTGACATACCATGCCATCCACTACAAGACTACAAAACCGGGTCTCTGGGCTGTGTCGTTATGGGTCCTGGAGAATTTGACGAGATATCTGTATCTGGAGCTAGACCATCAACAGCTACCGCTACTGATTGAGCTAGAAGAGTATGAGTTCATGGAAGCTTATCTCGGGAGATATGTGAGAAAGCCAAGGTTTGTTTTTCGTAGGGACGAGAAGGGAGAGTTTGAGGCAACCAGGGTGAGGGAGTGGGATCCTAAAAGCTTACCAGAGTGGTGTTGGACGAACCCGTGGACAAGTAGGGATTGATAGACGAAATCTGATAGCCCTTGAGGCTGCGCGCTTACAAGGATAGTTCATTTGTTATTACTCAATAGACACCATAACTTGTGCCGTGTGTGTGCCTATAGGGAAAATAGAAAGGTAAGCCGTCACCGCCAACGATCCGAAGACGCGCCTCGGCATACTCAACACGAGAAGATAACTGCATGCCGATGAGAAGCCTGTGGCGAATGTCGAGGATGTAGGTAGGAAGGATAGTGCGGTATGCGCTTGCACTCAGCCATCATGCTAACGGCACGTGACTTCCTGCCACTTGGGCGCTAAGAAGTTTTGAGCCGAGAGTGACGTCACTCTGGGTATCATCGACTTGTGCCTTTTCCCAGGACCATCCAGCATACAGCCCGTGATCGGCCGCGTACATCGGACATCGTATTTCGTACAACTGGTTTTCGAGGCAACGCATTCCAAGGTTTGCAGCGTTTGTTGTAGCGAGAATCGCAATACCTAGGTATGCATGGCCAACCCTCAATGCCTGCCCCTACGCAGGAGGTAATGGAGATACTAATCACGCAAAGCATATTTGATGGAGAGCTGTCAAGATGTGTCAAAGTGGTTACTAAACGCTTGAGGAAGGTTTGATTTGTCTGCGTGATTACTCACATGATCTGAGACGTAGCTTCACGACAATCGGGCCTACCATGATAAAGTGCTTATGGTAAAAGGAAGAGGCATCGTAATCTTCATGCCGCTTATCGGCCCTCAGCACAATCAGTTTCTCCCGAGATGCCTCCAAGCTTTGATCTAGCATAGTCCTTCTGCGGCAGTTCAGGAAGATGGTCACAATGTGCTGGATGCTCATATGAATGGTTCTGAGAGATATAATTACGATTAACATGATATGCTAAACGAGTCTCTATTCTACAACAACTCGCACCTTCGGGTATCATCCTCTCATCAACTCAATTAAAACTACATGATCGGATCTATAGCGGAGGAGCGTTGGGGTCCATCATGCACTGATCGACACGCATAAGCTGCTTGCCAGTAGCCTTGGCGATCTGAATGAACTCCCGAAGGTAGCTGACAGTGCTAGGGTAAAGGTAGTGGAGAACCACAAGGTTACCACCCTTGTCGACGTCACGCTGGAAAGCAACCTTCTGCTGCTCAGGGGTGTCGGTCTCAGCCCACAACCAATCCTCGACATCGACGCTCCAGTTGACAATCTTGGCGGTGTTGCCGACGGCCTTTGTGAGACGCGAGCGCATGCGGGCACCCTCGGTACCGAAGGGAGGACGGAAGTAGGTGGAGGTCAAGCCGTTGAATTGCGACTTCATAGCCTTGACGTCCTCGTTGTACTCCCAGTCAATGGATGCGTAGTCGGGGAGACCTTCCATCTTAGGGTGAGTGAAGGAGTGGAGGGCGAGCTGGTGACCCGCTGACATCATCTCCTTGTAGACGTTGGTCAGGTTGGTGGAGGCGTCGAGAAGGGGAGCGCCGACGGTGAAGAAGGTCACCTTGACGTCCTCCTCGCGGATGATCTTGAGGACTTCCTGGGCGAGGTCGGGTTGACCGTCGTCGATGGCGAAAGCGAAGGAGTTGGGGCGCTTGCAAGCGAAGACTAGGTCACCAGTCTCGTCCTTCTTGGGAATGGTGGTACCGGCGGGGACGGAAGAGACGATCTCGATAACAGAGAGGGTGACGGACTCGCTGCTGTGGAAACCCTTGAGGGCGAAGCCGACGACGCGGGAGAGGTTGATGTTGAAGTGGCTGATGGGGATGTAGATGTGTCCGTTCTTGGCGTAGCGGCCGGCCTCAGCGGAATCCCAAGTCTCAGGGAAGGGAGCGATCTCGGTGTTGCACTGGCTGTTGTGTTGCTGGAAAGCGACAGTGAAGGCAGTGGTACCGGTGTAAGCGATGTGGAGGTAAGATCCCTTGTACTTAGTGAAGTCGGCACAGCCACCAGACACCTGGGTGTAGTAGGAGTAGTCGGCGTCGGGGGACTTGATGGTGAGCTTGCCGCCAGCGTACTGGAGAGACATGCCCTCGTCACCACCGTGCCAGTTGCCCATGGCGTTGGTGTTGGCGTTGGCGAACTTGTCAATCACAAGGCCGGTAGCTGATGGGTTGCTAGGAGCGGGAACGGTAGCAGAGGCGCCGGGGTCGGCAGAGGTAGGAGGCACAACGTATTCTCCAGAGTTCCCGCAGTAGAAGGCCATGGGACCGAAGGAAGTGGTACCAGAGAATCCGGAAAAGAGGATAGTGGTAAGCTTCTCGGTGTTGAGGCCGGCGAACTTGCTGAAGGGAATGGTGTACAGCTTCTCAGTTCCATCGAAAGTCCATCCAAGGTCAGTTGCGGACGCGTAGGTGGACTTGGGGTTGGTCGCGTCACAGTTGTCCGAAGAGTCGAGCTGAACGGACAGGGTTGCGCCCTTAGGAGCCTTGATGCGAAGAGAAATACCGGTGTACTTGTTCTTCTTCGCGTCGACGCAGGGGAACTGGGTGTAGAAGTACGAGTCGGCCTTGGGAACGAACTCGACGTGGTTAGTAGACGGCTTTCCAACGGTGATGGAAGCCATGGAAGCGTCATCAGAGGTAGGGTATCCCATGGCGTTGTAGAACAAGAAAGTCAGACGCGATTGGGAAATCCAGTCATCGATCAACAAAGGAGAGCAGGTTCCAGCTGAGGCCGTGGGAGACGAGATTGTTGTCATGGTGCTGCGGACCGAGGAGCTCGAGGTGGTAGCCACCTTGGTTGCGGAGACGGAGGTGCTGCCACCAGCACTGCTGCCGCAACCAAAGGCGATGTTGCTCATCTGCCATGTGGCGGTGGTGGAAGAGAATCCAGCCCAAACGAAACCGGTAACAGCATTGGCGTTGGCACCGGAGAACTGAGACAGAGGGATGTTGATGGTCTGAGTGCTGCCAGTCAATCCAGAGATCGAAACGTACTTGGAAGAGTAAGTCGTAGCTGAGCAGCTGGTCTTGGTCTGGATCTCGAGGGTCGCGGAGCCACCGGCAGGCCCCTTCATCTGGAAGCTGATGGAGTTGTATCCATTGGAGCTGGCTGCCTGGCAAGGAAAGGTCTCGTAAAAGTAGGAACCTGACTTGGGCTTGAAAGACAGGACACCGCCGCTGGCCGAGATCGAGGACATGGATCCATCATCTGCGCTGGTTAGCCTTTCTTCTTGTGCAGGGCTTCAACAAAACCTACCACTGGTCCACTCGCCCAAGCTGTTCTGGTTGGAGGTCTGCTTGGAGAAATCGTCGATCTTGAGGGGTGCGCTGCAGGCTGCGTTGACAGTCTGGCTGGCAAGTCCGGCCAGAAGGCCTATTAGAGTAGTAACACGCATGTTAAGCGTAATAAAGCGAGTGTGTTGCAAAAGCGAATGTACGGAAGTCTATGACTTCCAAGAGTGATGAGTCTCTGCACCCCGAGTTGACGGTAAGGGCGATGAGTGACAGGCGATAACTCGTGAAGATCTCCCCAGGCGCAGACTCTCCCTAGATATATCTTTTTCCCCGACGCAGCGGCGCGAGACCTGACACGAGCGAGATTAGTCTAGTGGCCTCGGCATGCACGTCTTCGCGCAGCAGCCCTGTCGCTTGTACTATAGTAGGGCCACACGGTCTATTTCGGGTCAGCAGAACCTGGGCGTTGGTAGATCACCGGAGCGCTTGTGCTGTATCAAGGATAGGTCGGCTTACTATTCGGCTCGGGGAGCGGCTAGGACATGGCGACCCCTGAACTCGATACATCGTTTTCTAGGCGTTTGTGGAGCACGGCGTCCCATTGTATGGTAATCATCGCTACTCATGGTGGGTATACACTGTCATGACCGGTCAACGGTGCGACCCCCGTTTCTTTGCGATGTTTGTGCTGCGGCGTTGATGGTGTAGGTTATTGCTATGACGTCCATGGTCTATGAGGCAGAGCTCCAGAAACTCTCCGCGCATTGAATTTGGTTCGAGCTCGGCTGAAACAACCAAGTTTACTGCAATTCTAGTCTGCGCATCAGGCTCAACGCAACGAAAGACATCCTCCAAGATACGAAGGCCAATACTTGGCCTCGCGAAGAGTGCGAAGGGGTACTTGGCCATGAGCTATGCCGAGTGTGCCGTGCAAAGACAGCAGCGGGGTTGAGTGATGATAGTTTGCTGGTGGCTGCAGGAACCGAGAGACGGCGCGCGCCACCTCAGGAAGAAAAGGAACTACGCCCTACGCAAACGAGTCTTGCCACGGCAGTGGTAGAGCCTGCAGCTCGGGTCAATCGACAGAACCAAAGAAAATCCACGAGAAAAGGAACAGTTTTCGCGGTTCTAGACCATGATGCAGGCAACGTTGCGGATCTTTGTAGATTCTACAACTTCAAGCGGTGGTGTCAGTTGCAGTCAGCACGGCATGACATGAAAGTAAAATGGCCTGAGGATGCATATACGAAGTGGGACAGCGCACAGTTTTTTTCCTGTTGTGGTGGGATGCACCGGTGATGCTTGTAGGATGGGGTTCATGCCGCTTGCTGCGAGTCGGAAGCACGGCGGAGATTGACGGCACTCGAAGAAGTCAGGCCTGCAGGTGCCATCTTCACCCCAACACTCCACGCTCTCGCAACACAACATTTGCACCATGCCTGCCAGTACTGAGTATAGGACGCGATGCCCAAATTGCCGCTGGATTCCGCACCTGAATGCTGACCATGTGGCGTTGCAGCTGCAATCTCCCCCTCGGTTCCCCTGCCAAGGCGTCGCGCCATCCAGCCGCTCCGGATTGTTTCGCGTTTAACAGACACGCCTCGAAGCAGTTAGCACTGGAGATATCGGAATCACGCCGGGATATGTCTTGGCTTTACATGACTAGTGTTTGCTTTTCGGACGGTAGCTGGGCGGAGAGACTACCGCTCCACTCGCTGCACTTGCAAGGCTGGCGCGCTCCGACAGCACCGACCATAACGAATCTTCATCTCGATCTGCGATCCGTAGTTCACCCGGTCATTGCTCTCTAGGCAACCTCACATGTCCTGTCAATGATGTTGACATATCGGAGGCTTCCTTCCATCTTCCGTGTACATGGACAGCTCGACAGCAACCGCAATAGCCAGCAACAGGATATGGTCATGTGTGTGGCTGTCCGGACGTTCGCCGGCTTATCAGTTGGAATATACACGTAATGGGCAAGGTGACTCCCATGCATCAGCTGCGCCGTACAGCAATAAATTCTCCTATTTTCTTTCCCGGCTCATCACATCTTGGCACAGGGATGCATGTGGTGGGCTTCAGATTTTCGACCTCAGTCGTTATTCAATTGAGAGGTGTGGGAGGGTGCAGGCGAATAGAAGAGTCGGACAATGCAAGAATGGGTTCGGCTTCGTCGCAACTACAGACTCCAAGTCATCAATGCCCTGCATACGGTCTCGCGTCACGTACTCAACTTCTTTCCTTGTCGGAAAGAATACCGTCCCTCGCGCAATGAACTTCACAGCAATGGGAGATCAGACGCTTATGATGGAAACTGTATGACGGAACAAACTAAGTTAGGAAGTTTCCTGCCGTGAACGCCGTTGATGCTACCTGGGTATCGTCGCCATCCCTCATCTATCTACCAGCACTCTGGAATGCAGGCTGGATTATACATTCACCGTCCGTCTCATCCTTCGATGTATCCAGTCCACGTAGAAGCAACAATGCGTTCCACTCAAGTCTCAATCATCCTTGTGGAGACGTCCGCATGCACCGCCATAGCAAGATGCTGCAGGACGAACGAACAAGTGGCAACGAGGACGTGTACATTCGGCGCCATTGCGAGTGCACTCGGCGCAGCTGTCGCGGGTGCTATCGCAGGGCAGACCATTGGAGGCACAGTGCTTGCACTTGATGACGCGGTTGTATGAGCTCGAAGAGCCATCACCGAAGCTACTACGGCACTCGGGTTAGCGTATGCCTTCACCGTGATATGAAAGGTCAGTGGCTTACCTGGTACCTTGCGCGCCGATTGCGATTGCAATGGGGGCGACAGCAACCGTACGCGGAGGCATGGCGACCTCGGTTGAAGGGACAGCAACTGCAGCTGGCGCGGCAGCAGCAGGCTGCGCTATACCGCTGGTCTGCATAGTCATACTCTCCAGTCGCAGCTGCAGCTGCGCCACTTTCCGCTCCTGTGCTATCGCATCGCTGATGGCCGCTTGCTTCTGAGCCTCCAGCTTGACCTTCAAGTCCCTGACCTTCTCTTCTCCGTCCTTCACTGCCTCCTTCGCTGCCTCCTTCGCTTTCTCCAGGTCCACGATCAAGGCAGTCCTAGCGTCCTGTAGGCGCTCATTCGCAGTGTTGGAGAGCGACAGGTGGTACGTGAGACGACTGATGCGATATTTGTCGTCCGAACGTTCTTCCTCGGCAGTGAGTTGCTCGCCCATGTCGGCGTTGCTTGACGGATCGCTAGATGTTGTCAGTCAAAGTACATTGGAAATAGCCTGAGTACTTACGGAGATGGCGCCCTTGATTCGCTCAGAGAAAGAAGGTAGCCGAGCTCTTCAGTGTTGTTCTCGAAGAACATGTCCCGCATCATGGTAGGCGCTGGGTAATCGTCCTCGTAGTAGTCGGCGTCTTCCTCGTCGCCGTACTCGTTATCGGGACGGTCAGTTTCGCCGCCTACTTCATGCATCTCTGTGTCCTCATGGACGCTGTCCTGGACGTTGTTGACTGCGCGCTGGTCGGCCATGTTCGTGAGCAGAAACTTTCGCTCAATTTATGGTGAAGAGATGCGGGGTCAAGCCAGGGCGGGTTTTCCAGAGATATCTGAAAACCTACGCTAGGCAGACGCGAGCTATCTAGGTAGAATGCGGCTAAGCAGTGGGGCTACGCTTGGCTAGTCGAAGTGAAGGTGAAAGTGCGTCCATCTCGCGTGGTTCAAATTCTTATGTACAAAGGAAAAAGATACAAGATGTATATCATTCTGATTATCTTTGCTGTCCAGATTGTCTGAGATGGCGTTACATGACACGTTGTCACACTTAAGGATTGCAGTCAATGGACCAGAGATGGACGGACTACACGAAACACATAGAGTTATCGCAACACAAAGGAAAGGTATAAACGCTATGTTTGATAGCGCACATCGAACTTCACAACAAAGTGAGAGTACCAGAACAGTTTAAGGCCATCAAAGGAGACGAAAGGTCTAAAGTGAAAGGGACGACAAGGCTGATGACCATCCCAATCGTAGTTTCTCCTCTCCTGACCGGCCCTTCTATCTATCGCAAACCAGTATAAAGCCTCTAGAACCTCTTCCACTCGTCTGGGCGACGCGGTAACTCAGAGCCTGTCAATTTCGGGGGAATAGAAGCGGGACCGACAACCTGGGTGATGTGCGTTTGAGGTATCAAAGAAGCTTCGGGAAATCCATCATCGGGGTGAGCCAATCCACAGTTCATCTTAAGACACACTCCCTGCAGAGGCAGACGTGCTTTGTCAGTATAGGTCTCAGATGCATTTAGTACGGTCCGAACTGACCTCATCGTAGTTGTTGCATTTCATGCGTATGCAGGGAGATCCTCGGGACGCGCAAGCCGGGCAAGTGTGGCTGTTGTCACAGTGACGGATCGTCTTGTTGCGGAAACATTCGACGCAGGCAACAATCTTTTCCTTGCGGCGTTTCGGGAGTGTGAACGTGTTCTGGGTTTCTCTAGCACTCATTAGCAAGGTGGTCAGACTGAGGGTATTGAAGTCGTACTCAGCCCCTTCAAGCTCTCCTAAACGGCGCTTCTTGACCACGCTCTGGACGGGTGCGGTCAATCTAGATTGAATCAGTAGACGAAGGCTAAATCGTAGATGCAGACTTACGCGATCTCCGAGTTGGACTCCGCATTGGGCAAGACAAGCTTCGCTTCGTACTCGTTGCGCATAGTCATCTCGAACTCCGCATTGGGCAAGACAAGCTTCGCTTCGTACTCGTTGCGCATAGTCATCTCGAACTCCGCCTTGGACAAGACAAGCTTCTCTTCGTACTCGTTGCGCATATCCTTCTCGAACTCCGCCTTGGACAAGACAAGCTTCTCTTCGTACTCACCGCGCACCTCAATCTTCTGATCCTCCAGATTCTTGACACAAGTCCTCAACTCTGCGCACTCACCCTCAGCCTTCGCGAGCTTGTGTTCTGCAGCTATCGCCTGACCAAGAAGATCTGCACAGCGCTGGTGGGCGTCTGCAGCTGTGAGGCGCGCGGGGGTGTCGGACTCTTCTGCCTCCTTGAGACGCTTCGCGATATCGTCTGCCTTGTACTCTTCGATCTCCCGATTGGCAGTGAAGATAGTGGAGCGCTGGTCGCGGTTCTCCGCGTTCAATCGGTTGACCTCCGCGTTCAATCGGTTGACCTCCTGGTGAGCAGCTCGAAGATCTTCGCGAAGCTTCGCGATCGCAACCTCATGTGCCTGGGCTACTGGAAGGATGTCTATCAGGGTGGTGATGTTGATGTCGGTATCACTTGCGTCTCCGATGCTGTTGGCCATGGTGTTGGCTGACCGTTGCTGATACAACCGGCTGGGTAGGTGTTCACTGCTGGGGTTGGGTCACTACCTAGGTAGAAAGATTGTGAGCAGAGTGAGCGGGCGGCCGGCAGATAGCGGAATGACTCACTGCACTAAGAAGGCTTATTGCCTATTTCGATATTTTCAAAGCGCTCACTCACCGTCACCGTCCCCGGTCCGTCAGTGACCGTAGCGTTGGATATCACGTGACGTTAGCGCGCCAAGCCGCTCGGTCAATATACAATCTCGCCTGGTCCCTCCAAGCTTTCTCTTTCTTCAACGACTCGCGCCGCCTTTTCCACAATTGATTAGCTTGAGAGCGCACTGTGATCGCATTCTATGTGACGCAGTGTGACCCTCCCTCGAACAGGTACCCCTTACGAAGTACGCGGACTTTGGGGGCTTCGTTTGTTGAGCTGACGGTTGTGCGTTGAGCTTGCTTTCAGTGATTCTTTTTGGACGCTGGAACAAGCTCGCTATCGAGATCAATGCATTGATCCAAGGTCCGACAACCGAAGACGATGTACTCACCGCGGCGCGTTTTGATTCACTGACACGCTTGAAGGGCGTCGAGATTAGTGCAACTCACGGCGTTGATGGCTTGTCCACGGCGTTGATGGTTGCATGGTCTTGAATGCCTTTCCTTCGGGCGCAGGTCTATGGCTCCGGTGGTCGGGCTTGAGCCAGCTTGCGTTACGATAGGATCGAACTGGGGGCTAGTGTCTTTTCATCGAACTATCTTCTTTATGAAGACACTTGAGGAAGAGATTTGAACTCATCAAATGGTTTTCGCGAGTGCTAGGATACCTAGGTTTTGCCCAACATGATGCGCTATGCGTCATTACTATGTGAGTGCAGTGAGCTCATCCTTGTTTCACACCATCAACCCACACATCCACCGCCTCGTCGTAAAAGCACATATACCCCGCAATCGGTGCGCTCTCACTAGTCGGGTATCGATAGTACCAAACAAGATCCCGATACAGCTTGCCACCAACGCTGATGTGGTAGTACTCCGCGCGACCCTTGTACGGACACAAAGTCAGTGTGTCACTCGGTGTGAGGTACTCCCAGTTCACGCTCGTGGGCGGCATATAGTGCCTTGTTCTGAGTGTTGTCTCGAGAAGGAATAATGGGCTTGAGCTTTCGGCAAGTGTGACGCCATCGATGGCTATCCTAACGTTTCGAGAAGATGGTAAGATGTCGATGCGCTTGTAGGGATCTTTGGGATGGCCGTAAATCTCCATGTCCTCTTCGAACCATTGATCAATCGCTCGGAAGTCAACCTTTACCAGATCTTTGAGCTTGCCGGTATTGAAGATGAGGATGCGATTGCTGCTGCGATTGCCGACTGTAAGACTCGCTAGATGTGCGCCGCCATCTGTCCCGTCCACGGCGGAGCCTCGCGATAGCTTGGCGTGAGGGGTGAAGCTGGAAATTGGTACGAAGAACCTTTGGTGTTCAGCATGACGAAAGCATTCTCACGAGGAGGAGGTTCATACTGTGGGTAACGCAACTCCAGTTCCCAAACGTGGTTCGCGTTTAGTGTGTCGAATGCATACTTTCCATTGAGAAGGCCTCGTACACGGCGTGCCGTATGTTCTATTCTGCATGGCCCATCGCGAACGAGTTTCTGTGCCAGTCGTACTAGACTGCGTTTGTCAGCTTATCCTCACTAGACATTGTGCGAAGCTTGTGTGGACGCAACTCGCTAGTGCTTGCCATCCTGAGTGTCTTTTTTATTAAGTTGGGTTTGCGGCAACTTTTCGAGATGAACCGATCTCGAATAATGCTGAGGAGATGTCGTGCACACATGTGGAGAGAGATGTCAACTGGTGATGATGTAGGCTACCTTAGTACCGGAAGCGGGGCCGTCCTGATTGGCAGGAATAGCCGGAAGCTTACCAACCACACAACCACACAACCACAATGAAGACACCATCTCTACTAATCACAAAGATACAGTCTACAACCAAGTACATGGTATCTGCTTGCACATTCGGAGCCACCCCAGGAGGATCTCAGCGGATCCTTAACACAAAACACTTACTCCAAAGGTCGCCGCGGCATACCGCGTGTCGTTCGTCCACGATCGACGACTAGGTGATACCTTGGCCTTGCGGTCTACATGAGAGATCGTGAGCACGATGAGGCGCCCTGCCATTCCTGAAGTCGCCGCGCCTGATCGCCACAAGCGATGCTTATCTTGACGGCAATGCTCACCCGGTAACCTCAAGATGATAATCGCCAGGGGTGGTGTGGCCAAGTGGAGACTACCTAGGTATTCACGAAGGCACGTGACTCTATGAATACAGGCACCGCACCCGGTCACTCACCGCGCGAGCTAGTGTAGCCTAGTAGCGCTTGGACCCACTTCCCATGTCTGCCTTGCGACAACAGTTTGTCTTTCTCACTCCAACTGTCGCAATTTCATCGATTTCGTCTCTGTTCAAGATCATCATCACTATGTCCGGCTCGCACTCCCCTCCACGCGCTCGACCGGCTTCGCCGCGACGTGCACCATCGGCCTCGCCAGCTCAGCCCGACTCCCCGCATGCAGACGCCTGCGAGTTCGAGGACTTGAGCGTTCCAGACCCCAAGGCCACCCACGAGGAGAAGGTTCGCTTTTACCTCGCCCAGCTGGATCTACCAGACGGTTTTCTGTTCGGGCAAGACGAGTAAGTACCCCCTGTAGTCCTGTACTACGGTCATGTCTAACCATATAGCTCGCTTCTCAACGCCGACGAGCTACGCGCTAAGTTAGGAGAGCTCAGGCGTAGAGGTCGCGCTATGCGTGTCTGGCGCAAGGACATCGAGAGCGTGGCCCGCGAAGAACGTGCGAGGAATGACGCCACGGAAGTCCGTCGAGACGCTCTTTCGACAGAGCTCGCTAGGCTCCAGGAGGAGCTCGCTCAGGCTAAAGCTGAACTCGCTCAGGGTAAAGCTGAAATGGATGAGAAACTACATGCTCTTCTCGACTCGGTGTTTGGCGCTCTCCCCTAAAAACAGTGAGACAACCACTTTGTAAGTTCAGCTTCCCATCTATTACAGGACGATCTCACTAACGAATAAGGGTGCTCACCAAGGCGGCAAATTAGACGGATGATGAAGGATAAGTAAATCCGCGTGTATCAATACAGGAAACTTTGGATGTACAGGGAGTGAGTAGACATGTTGATGGCGCCGCTATGAGGCAACACTGTCGCCGTAAACCTCGACAAATAAAACGATGTGTCCGCAAAAGCTTACGTTGCATGTGAACCTGGTATACTAATGATTCAATATCGCACTCATCATCTGTTATGCGGGTTGGAGCGACGAAGGGATTTCGCGTATCCTGATGGTTCCTTGGCACAGTATCTGACGTCAGTGGCTAATAATCAACTCATCCCATATCTGAAATGCGAGAACTACCTTCCACGTATCAAGTAAAGATGTATTCACCTTCCTCAAGTCTCGCCGCTAGGGAAAGGTACTCAATGAAAATGGTCCATCCCGCGATGCATACTCATGGCTGACACCAGAGCTGCAGGCGACCGGAGATGAACAAGCCCGTGTATCAACTCATCGCTTGCGTACAAACGACAAATCGCACATCAGACTTGCCCACCAATCCAGGCGTGTAAGTTCCCGTGGGAACTAACCTGAGAAATGAACTGCACTGCGGGCGAGACTCCGATCGGGCTGTCAGACCCGAGTCGAAGTATGAATCTCTGGCGAACGTTCCAAGAAGCTTGGTCAGTTCCTCGCACATGCCCCCAGCACAACGAAGCACTCAAGATCCCGTGAAACCTTGATATGTGATCCGAAGTGACTCATCAGTAAGAGAATCCCTTAAAGTGAGCCCAAGCCGATGAGCTGTGGAGAAGGCAGTAAAGACAGTTGGAGAAGAGAAGAGCGAATTGGAGGGGCAGAACAAGTTGATATAGATAGGCGGGGCCACTAGGCGCTTAGCTCCCCAGGATACACGTGACATATCTGGCCTGATTAATAGGCAGCGTAGATGGCGGCGAAGTGAATGAGGAATAGCCCTGTAGAAGGCGAGAGAGAATAATCGATACTCTACGTACGTCATTGCGAACTTTCTAGCACCGGATGTCTAATGTCGGACCCGCCTTGAGCCCGTAACATGTCGCATCGCCCACTGCGCCTTGATGCATAGCGACATTGGCTTTCGGGAAGTGATCTTGGAGGACCACGACGACGTCAAGCAGGCATCTGAACCTACGCCCTCCATTACCCCGAGGCTTCAGCCGACTACGGAGTGATCACCAAGTCGCGCGGAGATGTAAGGTAGGGGTTTGGAGACTTTATACTGGTTTGTGGTGGTCGGAGAGGTCGGTCAAGAGAGGATATATACCCATGACAGCACTTTGTTAGATCAAATGTTGTTGCAGGTCTTAACGATGACCTCCCGGGCATATTAATGGTAGCGAGATGAAATAGTGTTGCTGGGACGTACCCGGCAAGCCATTGTAGAATAATTGGTACAAGACACTAGAAACACCCTCCTTTACACGTCCGTGACTACTATGAGACGAAACCTTCCTACTTTCACTTAAAGCTAACACCGTAACTATTCCAACCCACCGACTGATCCCAACCCTGAACCAGTGTCTTCCCACCTGGGCCCGTACATACATTACCCTTCTCAATTTGCTCCTCCTCTTGCACCTTTCCATCGTTCTTCCGCCCATTATCCCAGCCGTTTTGCATGCCAAACCCAAGGTAACAGTCATCACGCTGAATAGGCGCAAATCCGTGAATCTCGAAAGTCACAGCGAGAGAGATGTCAGGCTTCTTCTTATCGGGATTGGGCAGCTTGAAGGCATAGTCGGCGGTGAGAGGCGGCATGATGGGCTTGTTGTGAGGGTCGATGACGGGTTTGGGAAGGAGAGGAGGATTGGGAGCGTCGGCACGGACGTGGTCGTCGCACCATTTCTTTGCTGCCTTGTGGAAGTCTTCTAGAGTTGGGTGGGGCTTTGATGAGCAGGATTGCTTGTCAGCTCGCTGTACGTTGTTGCTCGGCTCTGCGATTGGTGCGGCGAGGACGAGGCTTAGGAGGAGTGAGGTGGAGAGAAGCTGACACTTCATATTCGGATATGGTAGCTGTTGTTTTGACTAGGTATGTGCGATGCTTTGGTTGCTGAGTAAGGTGGTAATGTTGCTGGTGGCTGGGTCAGTGGTAGTAATATGAAAGTATGGTCTTCGGGTTGAGGAGTAGTGTAGTAACAGAATACACATTATATACCTCACGCGAGTCATATCGCCGCTGTGAGTATTGGGAAATCGTACGAAGCTATTTTCCAACACCATCGTTCCCCTTGTGTTTCCTCTCCCACGCCTTTATTTCGATACACTGTGTAGCTTCGGATGCGGTATTGCGACGAGGTGCTCGTGAAGCGGAAGGTCGTGGCAAGACAGCTGTCGTATGTATTGACGACGGCCGGTGAATCCAGGTACGAACGGCAAAGGTCTTCCGAGCGAAAGTTGCGCCGGACTTGTGAAAGAAGCCGCAAATGCGCTATGGCAATCGATCTCCTATACTACGCCGTAAACACTCGAATTTACTGCAACGCTTTACTCTTCAACCAGCGCTATGATTCAGTCGCGAATATCAAGCTTACCGATGGGCAAAGTCAAGCAATTCTTTCGTTCGCTAAGTCGTCGACTGTCGATCCCCATTTTTAAAGCGCGTGGCGAGTCCATAAGGTCGCGCGAATCAAGCCCTTTCTCTTCTCTGGCGCAACACGACACCGACAGCAAATCTACCTCGACAATAGAAACCCGAGCAACGTCCCACAACGAAGCGCGAACGTCGCCGTCTACACCACCGATCGCACCAATCGACCGCACATGCCCCGAGACAGTGAAGCGGGGTGGAGCGTCCATCGATAGCGCTCCGAGAAAGGATACGGTCAATCAGCGTATAAGCGATTTGAATGCGTACGCAGGTCTCCAAGTCAATGTTGCGATATTGCGTTTCGTACACAGGCTACCGCTGGACGAACTGCGCATCATTGGCCAGAGACTGACGCTGTCTTCGTCTTTTGCTGCGGGAAAACAATCTGAGGAAGACGATCGGCGTCTTCCACGAAGCGTCGCGCGGCCAAAGACTATGAGCCTTGCTAGTATGACTAGGGACTTGAGTAGGTCTTTCGTATGTGGCCCGGAGAACAGGATTGAACGCAACCGTACTGGAGACGAATGTCGACACGATCGATGCGCCATACAGGAAAGGCCGAGTCTCTATTCTTCGGAGATAGACATCGAATCACAAGCGGACGCAGTAACGCTTAGCCTTGCCAGTCAAGAGAGCGTCTCAGCATGGTCGTTCGCGTGTTCTTCGGCGCAACTCGTCGAGCGGGAACACGCAACTCGGCAGCGTGGAGCTGCGAACATGGAGCGCGCGCCTTCCTTCACAACACGATCGGCCGACTCATGTGATCTATTCCTGGAATCGATTGGCCTCTCGATACACCCAGAAAGTATTCCAAGAACCGACCACGAAGACACGGATGACTTTGACATGGAAAACTTACCAAACTGGTCCGACGTGGAGGACGACCCAGAGTACAACCAGTTTGAAGAGCGGTCATTCCACTGGACGGATACGGATAGCTCCCACTCTTCCAGGAAGTCGATGAGAATGGCTGACACATCATCGCCAGCATTCTACATGCCCGCTGTAAATGTCGACACTGTTGCACCCAACATGCATGGCGATGTCGCGCATAGCAATCACGGGTGAAGGATGATGAGAGGGCTGAGGTTTGCAGGTGGTTGGAGTGATGGAGCGACCAAGACACAAGGGGAAGGCCAAGCGCTGGCGGCTAGCGGGTTCGCGTGTCAGGGAGCCGGCCTGGATTCGCAAGTCGCGCAGGACGGCGGTTCAGGGCCAATGCGCCATCGTCGTCGTCGACACCTCCACATCCACCCAACACCAACCGCCTGCTCAATGTGCCACGGTGACGTCGCCCGCCTGCCCATCGCACCTTCCTCCTCATAGCATCGCTTCCTATCGCCGGCGACTCCCCAGGCCCCTAGCGACCGCCCATCCCCCACGGCCGCAGCGACGGCAACATGCTGAAACCGCTGGCTGGCCGTTTGGCACGGCGGCCATGGAGATTTCTCTTCCCCGGCCTCCTTCTTTTCTTTTTTGCATACACACTCTCGCATCGGAGAGGGTCACATCCCCAGGCGCCCGTACACAAAGCGAAGACAAAGTCGTATTTCCCGCCCCTCGAAACCAAAGCCGCCAATTCAATCGAGCTCGACTACTGCCAGAATTTCCCTACCAAGCTACTGGAAGAGGTGCAGGTTGTCCTCAAGGTCGCATCGGACGGGGCACATGAGACGAAAGCACACCTGAGCACGGTATCGAGCTGCATCACGAATCTGATCATCGTGGGCGACCGGGAAGAGCGATTGGGCGACCGCCATGTCATCGACATCCTCGCAGAGCTCCCCAAGAGCTACCAGAAAGACAACGTCGACTTCCAAATCTACGTCGAGCACAAGAAGGCACATGAAGGCGGCGAGACGGTCAAGGAGCAGCAGCGGTCCTTCAAGCTCGATCGCTTCAAGTATCTGCCCATGGTGGATAAGGCATACATGACCAACCCCGCAGCCAAGTGGTTTGTCTTCATTGAGTCGGACGTCTACTTCTTCTGGGACACGCTCTTCCGCCTGCTCAGCCAGCTTGACGCCTCGCAGCCACATTACCTTGGCGAGGCGCACAAGGGCTCTGAAGGCCGCCATTTCGCCTATGGCGGCGCAGGAATTGTCCTCTCCCAGGGCCTTGTCAAGCAACTCATCCCAGGCAAGACCCCCGGCTCAACCGAGATCCCCCGCGAAAACCGACTAGGCGTCCGATACGAGAACTGGGTCAAGGAAGAACAGCGCGGCGACGCTGTCCTTGCCTACGCCATCCAGAACGCGACCGGCCACAAGCTCGAGCCCATGTACCCTACCTTTGCTAGCGACAAGCTCAAAGATGTGACCACCACACGCGACAAGTGGTGCGTGCCAATGCTCTCGCTGCACCAGCTCAAGCCACAGCAGATGGAAGACTTGTGGAGGTGGGAAAGGACACGGCCGTACAACACGGTAAGCAGCCTTCAGCTCCGATCCAAGTGACCTGACTAACACCACGTCATAGAAACCATTTACCTACTCATCGTTCCTCTCCTACACCCACGGCTTCCTATCGCAGGGTCCCTCGAAAGAATGGTGGGATAACCTTTCGCAAGCGCCCGTACCGAACGATCGTCCCGCACATCGCAACGCCGGCTCGTGCGGTTCAGAGTGCGCTAATGACGGCAACTGCCTTCAATGGTCTTACTCGCAGACCGTCTGTCGTCACGCCGACTACATCAAGCTTGGCGATGCTGTCGACCGAGAAAACGGCGGTCAAGGCGAGTTCGTCAGTGGCTGGGACACCGGAAAGCTCCGCGACATGGGCTTTGGTGTCGAGGGACAAAATGGCCAGAGAGAGTTTTACGAAGGCTGCGTCGAAGCCACCTGGCTGACCCCACAAGAGATGTAGAAACACTCATACGTCAGCGTATAGAGACGGACATGTATTCGAGACCAGTGACACATAGGGAGGCGTTGCGGTTGCTTGTACCACGTTCATGCATGGCGTTCTGGGTTGGCACATCATTTTGGATATGTGGAGCGTCGCAAACAACGCGTTGAGCAGGCGTCATGTTGACAGGAAGATGGACATCAGGCCGATGAGCTTCTTGGGCGAATATGTAACGAACAGAGTTTGAGCATAGACGCAGGGCATAAACTGCGAGGCGGTATGATACCGCGGGCGTTAGACCTGTATATGATAATAGCACATATCTTCACATCTACCCGACGCGCATTCGGCCCTTGAGGTACCCTCGTGGTAGGTAAATGGACGATTTTGAGTAAATTCGTCCAGAGCGGAGGCTTGACTTTCCGCTGCCGGTGGGTGGAATACAGTTGTTCCGCTTGGACCATCTGCGCGTCGCCGAACGGCTGCTGCCAACTCTTGACACCACTATATCCTCTCCATTTCAACATTATGCCCAGCGTCGCGAACGACTCTAGAACCACATTGAGCCCATTGCTGACAGCCATGCTTGTTCAGATCATTACGACTCGGTCGCATTCCCGGTGTTGATGAAACTTGGCGGCGCCGGTGTGTTTGACGGCCTGATTCGGTCGCTTTCTGAAAATGTCGGTTGTCGCTGCTGCTCCACGCATGAAATTGCGCTTTGGGCAGTGAAGGCAGTAGGTCTTGTTCGAAAAGGATCGCGATGTGATGAAGAGTTGTACTGACGTGCGGTGGACGGCAAAAGACCGTTCTCATCTGAGGTATATCAGTCGGCGCGACTCCTCTTCTTAATGCTCCCAGGTTAAAAAGCAACGGGTTGCCGGTCCGTCCGGTACTTGTCCAGCAGCCGTGCACATTACCCCACATCCCGGTTAAGGAGCCTCATGACAGCAGCGTCTTTCACCTATATTAATGCGGCCTTACCCTGACGTCGTCGGGCCTACTATAGAATATTCCATCACTATTCTCCTGCCCGTGCCATTGGTTAGCTGTCTACTTTCTGCAGTACCCCAAATGAAAGCGCGGGTATCCCTATATTTCGGCCATGGAACAAGCCGGACGCGTGGGCACCGACATGTTCATCTAATATGAACCGTGCTCAGATGGACTTGGGGTAAGGAAGCGTTCGGTGACGCGTTTGAGAATTGTATAAAGAGTGTCTCCACCCACCCACTATTGTCGTCTCATCCACATCCAGCGCATCCACAGTCTCTACTACATTCTTTTGAACCATCATCATGTTCACTTCTACGCTCATTACCTTGGCCTCAGTTGCCTCCACTGCACTGGCTGCACCCGCCCTTCACCCCCATGTCACTCGCGCCGCTGAGCCCAAGTGCCCCATCGTCTTCGACGGCCGTGTCCCTGCCAACATGACACCCGTATCCTTCGACACCCAGGCCACCAACACGCTCTTCAACGCCGACTTCGTCAAGGGTAACAACCTGACCTGGTCTCAGATTCTCAAGTTCCCCAACGAGTCCTCGCGCTTCGATGGCGACAA